TAGGTAGTATTATATACCGTGTCCTGCCTACTTCTTAGACGGGTTATCCACTTCAGTACTTCACGTGCTGTTATATCGCCGAGTGAAAGTGGTCAAATGCGTCACGATTTCAAACAATATTGAATTTTGGAATCACAGTAATTAATCACCGTTCAGTAATTTTACAATGCATTATTGAGTACTACATAATATACTTATTGGACAATGGACATTATACCTACGGTTTCTTTACATTTTAGTTAAGTTTAGTTTATTAGTTAGTATAGGCACTGGGTAAAATCCTTAAATAATTAATTTTCAAAACCCAAATTCATATCATAAAATATTTTCGAAATCCTGGCTGGACAAGTCTGGTTTACCACACTCCTATAGAGAAATTAAATTGCTTGAAAATATGTATCTTTTATTCTTACCGAGTTAAGGACGATGGTGCAATTAGAAATTATTGCTCAGACTTAATTTTGAAGTTATTATGAAGCTAGGTATTTGAAGTTTACTGTTTTTATGGTAGGTAATTACAGCTTAAATATGCCATATTCAATATTTTATAACTTTAACTGAATAAGTTCGATTTATGCACTTAATCAAATATGGCATTTCTGCACTGCAGTTTACACTTTTTCTTCGATTTTTGGACGTTTTCTGATACGAAGGTCGATTTTTAAAGTGGACAATTGGGTATAAGTGATTAACCGCTCTGCTGTAGATACAGTAGGGGTCCAGTGTACCTACCTTATAAATGAATATTAATGCGGATGTGTTAAATTTGAATTCAATGATAAATCATCGTGTAGAAAAATGATTCTAAGCTGCAGTATCTGAGCGCAGTCGACCTATCTAGGATTTATTATATTGGCAATTATTAATGCCTATGGCCTATAGGTACCTACCTAAGTACCTATATAAATATATTTATTTAATTATTAATTATATCATATATTGATAACATTTTTTTATCTTAAAGTAAATTATTACTTACCTGAGAAAAATGTAAATACCTAATATATGTTAATGGTATAAATAGGTGGCCTACTTAGTACCTATCTAAAAAATAATTTAAATATTTTGAAACTATCATTGTGTAAATGTGTATATAGCAAAATATAATAATATATGTAAATGTTTCAGCTATCCACGAATAATATATTATAATTACAACAAGATATCTAAAATCGTCTAAAATATCAAAAAAAAATTTTTTTTGTGTCTATACACGCGATATTATATAGTCAAAACTATTCTTCGATTTTCAACTTCAATATCTTTTCCGGTGGAAAAGTGAATCTATAAGTGGGTGCATTCTTGGAGTCAAAATTCTCATTAGTTTTCAAAAGTGCATGGAAAACCCGATTTGACGAAAACCCGATTTTTGACGAAATCGATTTTGGTTGTTGGTGTAACTTTAAAAAAAATTACCGTTCATACATGACATTTTCACTAAATGTTTATACTAGAATTTTCTTTATACCATTACAGTTTCAAAATATTTTTAATCATATTGAACTATTTATAGGCATATGACATTTTTGATTTTTAATAATTTTTAAAAAAACTAATGTCCGTAAAAAATTGTTAAACTGTCAAAAAACTTGAAAATGTCATACAAATTTCCTTGTAAATTGTTGTTAGTGAAAATTTTAAAAATGTTGTAAGTAAATCCACAATATTTTTTATGAGCGTCTGAATTTCAAATTTTAACAAAATCCATAAAAATCACGAAAATTTGCAAATTATTTTGGGTATTATTTTTGGTTTATTTTTGTACAAAATTTTTTCTTTTAATACAAGATCCCTCATTAGTTATCAAAGTTTATTATTAGTTTTATTTTCAAATACATCCAATTTACTACCAGAAACCATCTTCAATGTAGAGGATCAAAGCTTTTTTTACATCGTTAATTAGGGAAGGGTGAAATGCAGTCTTGTTAATATCTAACAATGATAATCAATTAAATAATTATAAGACAATACCTAACTAAAATTAACTAACATTGGAGTTCAACGCTTTAACCCCCCCCCCCCCTGCTTTCACCACTGTACTATTAATAACGTGAACATCTTGAACTTCTGTTTGGTTCAAATTTATATGAATAAGGTATTTTCAGTATTTTCTTATTATCTATTATTTATATATTATATACTCGATACTCCAAGTCTCCATGTCTGTAGTATATTGTAGGTACATTGTCTTCTAGTTTCTACAATACTTACTAGTTATTACATGTCTACATAATATGCAGTATATACATAACATGTAATATTTTGATAATAATAATGTTGATATGTTAATAGGTTATATAGGTACTTAATGGCAATAATAATTAATAAACCTACCATCTACGACTTATCCACCAATATAGAAAATTTTAATGTAACATATTACCGTACTTTAATTGATATTTAAAATAATATAACACTTGTTAATTTTTTTTTAATATCCTTTTTATATTTTGTATAGTTATTATAAATGAATAGTACCTATATAATATTCTAATTATAATAATATTATTTATATAATATTATTAATCAATGTTATAGGTAAAAAGGCAAAGGCATAGGTAATTGGTAATTTCGGTACATATACTATTACAGTTTATTAATCAATCATCATATATCTATTCAAGTGTATTCACTTACTATATTTATAGTTTGTGACATGCGTGTATAGGTACTGTGTGATAGTTAGTATTTATAATACTTATTTTTATTTATGTTGATATAATTTGTGTTTATACTTAATAGGTCAACAAGATTGAAAATAATGTAATATAAGTAATCAGTTTCCTCATAAATTGGTTTTATAGCAATTTAAAAATAGGTACCTAGGTACCTATCAAAAATTCAAAGTCACAATTTTTAATAAATCTTTAATAAGTGTTTGCAGTTCAAACACAGACTATAATAAAAATATATAGACCATATTATAATATAAAATTTATATATTTCATATTATAGCCTGTGGTTAAAACGTTGACGTAATTCGATAATTAAGGAAAAAATAACGATTATCTCTCCAACAATTTTATTTATTTTGTTGTAACTCAAAAAATATTAAGTAGATTAGACCTTTATACTTTACCATTATACAGAGATATATTAGTATTTTTCATACCTAAAAGATGAAATTAAAAAAAAATGTAGACTAATTTTGGGTTAATTGTTTTATCTTAGGGATTTACATGTTTCTACAGAGTGTTACTATCGGGCATTGTCATATTGACTTATAACTTATATTATGTTATTTTATTGTCATACCTATGTTTTTGGAAAAAATAGGCAATTCCACATTTATACTCCAAATAAAATTAAGAAAATACTTGTGAATTGTAATCATAATATTATACCTTAATGGTTCGTATAATAAACCATCCTTAGATACAGATATTTTATTGATCTACGTGCGGTTTGTTTCGCTCAGATTTGTTAGTCGAATACAATTATTTATTATAGCAGAATTCGAATTTAACATATCTATTTTAGTGGTTTGTTTAAATTTCAAACGCGGTAGTTACTTTGCCTTAATATAATTTAATATTACTATCAAAACCTTCAATACAGCAGAGCGAGTTCAACAGTATTATATTATATTAGATATAAATAAAACAATTATTGATGTTGAATTTGTATTATACTTATTATTTTTTTTTTTTTTTTAATTGATCCTGAGCCCGGCAACTGAGGCCATTAGCTATTAGTAGGTACTGTAGGTTTTTTTTGTATTGATGGTTTGTAGGTTTTTGGAACGGTAGGGGGAACACGTGTGTGTTTGTTTTGGCAGAATTTCGAATGGGGCACCCGTAGGTTTCTGCCATGCCCCGAGGGTGGGGGATGGCAGCACTTGCTCTCCGGTCACCGCGAATTGTCCGGAGAAAAATGCCGCCCGGTGGCCGAGGATCGAACCGCGACCGGCTGCGTCGCAGCGGAAGATACTTATTATTGTTGAACTGCTTACAGTCACAAAATTAATGTTATATTTTATGAAGTTAATTGTGTCAATTATATTATATAGGAAAAAGTAGTACAATTTGATTGTAATTCTACTGTAGTATAATCGGTAGACAAAATAAACTGCACTACGGTCTAAATTGTTTCAGTATAAATATTTATTTACTATTTTACTGAACAGTTCGTATTAGATTGTTAAGTATACCGTATACCTATATAATAATATGTAAGCTACCTATATGTGATTTATGTGATTTTTATTTTTATAATTTTAGTAAAAAAAAAATGTAAATGCGCTGTACTTAACGACGCGTAACTTAAGTTCTCAAAAAAATCATACAAAATCACTTGGGACTTTATAAAATTGTAATTATTTTGATGATAAATACGCGACAGGCATAAGTCGAATCTATTTATATTTCTTTATAATTACAAATCATAGTTACCTATTTATTAAAATAATTGTAATTCAAATTCGTTAAAAAAGGAATGGTGTGCATGTAAAATTGTATTTCTTATATTTTATGTCCCTTATGCAGTGAAAAAATCCGTATGGAATTCAGGGTCATGAGTATGAAGTATTTCGTTTTCCCTTTATCTTTAAACACACTATATAATATGATATTATTATAGTGAACCTACCTATATTATGGGTGACCGGTAGATTCATTCCAATACCCTCCAATCTCTATGCCCTAAAACAGATCTGTATTTAAAATTCTACTCAATGGCTACTAATTTTAAAGTGAAAGAAGCTATCATACGATTGCTCAACACAATTTTTATACAACATATACATACATATTGTTAGATATGTATTATAATTTTTCCATTCTTTCCGCAGTTCTTCACCAAAATACTCGTATGCATAATATTTAAAAAAATTAAATAAAAATTAATATTACCTATATTATACAGCCACATCTTTACTACCTACAAGTCAAGTATGTTGTGAAATGAAGAACACTATATTAAGTATAATATTATTTAATTTTTTTTTTTAATGCCCCGCGGCTTTATTATATTTAAACGACCCAAAGATCTGTATAAATATGTTTAACAATCGTCAATCACATATATTTTACATACTAGGTATAAAATATAAATTATATGTATATTACCCGTTGATGGAGTCACTTCCATGAAGTGACTCTTGCTTTAATCTAAATTCTTAAACTAATTACTAAGTCGTATGGTTTCAGACGCTTAAGACATCTGATGTCCTTGGAGTTATCTAATAATTGGATGGCCAATGGATTGACATGGTGATCTAGTCTTATCTCGTGTTTGCGAGCAAACCTTTGGATCTCGTATGCTATTGTAGGCATCATCATATCACGGTGAATTGAGTTGTTTCTTTCGAACCGGTAGCCAGTAGGCTGCAATGATATGAAGGGTGATGTTTTGACAGCATTGTATTACAGCAGGCACAACAACCCCACAGTTAAATGCCATAAATCCAGAATGGTTTTAAAATTGCTATATATAGTAGACGTTTGTTTTCGATGGTTAACTCGAAGTGGGGTCCGATTAATCAATAAAGTTTTCACATTTTTTCTTTAATCTGAATAGTTTTCTGACGGACGTGGTGTTTTCAGTTTAGACAAGAGTCAAGGTGCATTCAAAGATATTATGCTGAATCTTTTTGCGGGATTGGTGATTGATTCAGAACTATTTGTATGTTTTCGGTTTTGAGTAATGTTTAGTTAACGTGCACCGATTTATTGCAATTGATCTAAATTTTCCAACTTCTTGTTCACGCAAAGATACTTTCAATTGACTTCTGTAATTTATCAGTTGCAGTGAGCTGACTATAACGTGTCGACGGCAAAAATAGCTAACGTCTTGTTGTTATCGTTTGGTTTATCAGTCGTAGGTTAGTAGTACATGATAGGTCCTCAAACACTTCCTTGCAGTATTCCAGTTTAAAAGTCTTTCCATTCAGTTATTGATTTTTCGTGTATGACTCGAAATTGACAGTCGATCAAGTTCATGATTCAAGAAGTGTTCATCAGGTATGTTGTATGACGTAACAGCTGATCATGGAGTTTGATGAGGAATCCTTTGTGCCAGACTTTGTCAAAAGCCTGAGCTACGTCAAGGAATACTCCACAGCAGTAATTTTTTTCTTCAACAGCTTTCACATTAATAACTCGATGTGCTTGAACGATTATCGAACGTGTGTTACGAAATACAAACTGATATTCTGATACAAGATTTGTTCCCTCTACATTATAATCGGTTTTAGGCGTTTAAGCAGAAGTTTCTCTAAAAGTTTAGATAAACTTGGAAGGAGTAATATTGGTCGGTATGATGTGACATTTTCAGGCAGCTTTTCTGGTTCGACCAACATGATCACTTATGCCCGTTTCCATTGTTCTGGAATGTATTTCGTTAAATAGGGTTGTATATGCAGTGCGTAAGATGAATGATAGCCTTCTTTGGAAGTTCTTTCAGTATTTTTGGACTAATCTCATCATAAAGCCTGGTGATTTGTTTTGGGTTTAAGTTTTTGTCTATTTCTTAAACAATTTCTAACAGCAAGAAATGTTTGATTTTTTCACGTGTTGCATTAAGCAGTTGGCATTGTAAAATGTCGAGCTTAGAGTTGATAGTTTTTGGTATAAATATTAAATACATGTTCAATATGCTGAGCGTATATTTCAGCTTTTTCTTGTTATCTGCGTTCCCAGGTTCCGTCTTCCTTACGGAGAAATGCAGGCGCAGAACCAGGAAATTTTATCAGGGGGTGCTAAAAAAAAAAAAATAATAATCATACATTTTTATTGTACTATTTTATATTACAATTATTAGTGCTACATTTTTTTCAATCATTAGTATTCAATATTTATTAAATATAAACTTAAAAAAAACATTAATTTGTTTTTTCTTACATATATTGTAACTGTAATTTTCTCGTGTGTTTTTTACTGAATTCTTCAAAAACTTCTTCTGGAGTAATTTTAATATCCCTATGAATATTAAGGAGCATAATTCTCTAGGCCATCTAGAAGATAAGTTTAATGTATACACTATAACAGGCTCACAGGTATAGTTACATGCACTACAAATAATATCTTGCTTACGAAAATAGGTCACGCGACTCCTGGTCCCAGAAGACGTCATGTACCTGCAATCTGCATATTATATATTTAAAACAAATTTATATTTATTATATTTGTTAGTACAAAATATAAATAATGCACACTGTACAACAATTCTATAATAACATAATCAAATATCCACACATGCAGTTCATATTGTAATGCTAGGAAAGCGTGTGATATGTGAATGTTATACGTATGTACATTAACATAATACATACATAGATATATGTGTAATTATAGTCAACAGGTATTGTTGATACATCAAAATAATGTTTTAATAAGTATTATAGTATACTGCATTAAATTAGTGATTATTATGCCTACATTATATCATATGTAATTAATAAATATCACCAATTTCAATGGAAAACACAAATTAAAAATATCTTGCTTAATATAATGCACTGTATGTACCTATTATGATAAGGAAATTACTTTTCACGTGCCCACAGCTTAATCAACAATAAATCTCAATAATTACATAATATAATAAAAACAATATAAATATAATATACGTACCTATTTACTATAAAAAAGATATGAACAATTATAAATAATAACATTAAATAGAATTATGTAATATATACTATAGCAGGTATTTAAAAAATAGGGAATATCTAATAACAAAATAATAAATATGATGGTACCCAGTAAAATAATAAATACCTTCCGTATTTAATTTTATTGAGACTACTATTACGAGCATACTAAATACTAATGTAGAAATATAAATAAAAATTAAGTGCTAAAGATTAAACCACACAAATATAGATATAAATACTATATTATATAGGTCAAATAATAATTATTAATTGCACACATACTGTACCTACCTTCTTATATAGATGCAGATACAATTTAAATTTCAATTGATGAGATAAGTACCTACAATAAGTTATAATGTTTAATATCTATACTCTATAGGTACCATCTATTAAATCGTTAATAATATTATTAAATCTCAATCTAAAGTATTGTGATTATGTAACTTAACTAAACCTAGGTGTTTTTAATTTATTACTGTATGTAATATACAATATATAGGTATATGACCTCTAAGGCTTTGAATAATATCTACGTAATATGTATGTATACGTGCGATAAATTTTTTGTACAACACAATATGAATGTTTCTCATTACAGACGTTTACAGTGTACTATAATATCCTATGTAGATTCTCATTTGTAATTGATTGTAGGGTGAAGTTATTCTTAAATAAATATAATTTATCACACATTCAAGGTTAGGTGCCGACAGCTGCTGAACTGGAAGAATAATACGAAGCACCAAAGTTAATCTATGAACCTATATAAATACGCGTCTTGTGTGGCATAACAATTATTTTGGTCGTTGAGACAATCATATTGAAGTCAATCCTCTAAAGAAAAAAGAAAAATACAAAACAACAAAAATAACCAAAATAACAATTAAAAATAGCAAAATAAATTATTGATCGTCAAGTACTTACAACAATATAATTTAATATTAAAAAAATAACAAACAAATACAAATGTAGGTACTTAATGCATTTTAACAATAAATTGAAAACTTCAGTATTTGAGATATTTACCTACTATATCCTATATATATATATATGACATTATGTTATTATATACCTATTTTATGTTAGTGAATAAACTAGAATATAAGTTAAATAATTGTTAAGACAATGTTAAGAACGTTCGCAGTTATAAGTGAACGGTAGTTGACAAACAATATATTTAATTCTAAAAGTTTAAATCATTTTTTGATTATAATTGTGAGTCGTTATAATATAATTATTTAGATTTTAATAACATTATGGTAATATATTCAGATTATTATTACTTATTATTTCATTAATTATGCCAATTAATGATGCCATATTAATAATAATATATTCAAAATATCATTAAAACAAGTCCTATTTAATTTAATAATAATACATTGTGAATATTATTTTACTATTTCGTTTTTGATGTATTTTTATTAATGATGTCATTATATTGTTTTTTACAAAATAATTATTTGATATTATATTGATATTTATGGTGGAACAATGTTTGTATAATGAAGATATGATACTAATAAAAAATTAACTCAACAATCAAATCATAAGTTGTTAAAAAAAATCATTTGTTTTTAACTATCATCTAGCTGGGTCACAAAGAAATTTTTGAGCAACTTTAAATTTTTGTAAAGTTAGGACTTAGGTTTATTAGTAAAATCTTTGGAAGTTATTTGTTTTCCCCCAAATAAAAATTGAAAAATGTACCTTATAATTTTCCGCCAAAGTGAAAAAGGTATGATTTTCTTTCTACTAAATTTAGATGCATACATAGAGTGGTATGTACCAATCTACTTAAAAAAAATTCCATACGGATACCTAATGTTTTTAGTTGTTTAGCCTATGGTACCTACTTTGTTATTCCAGTTGAAATATTTGAATTAACTGATTTAAATTCTAGTTTATCTTTATAGTTTTTGGATATTTAATTTAGAACTGTTTATAGTTTATTTATAAATATATATATATACATTAGTTTGAAAACTTGAAATAAAATTGTTTAAATTCATTAATATTAGAATTTGATTTGTATAACTCTTCGTTTTGAAGTGTGCGGAACTATTTTAAGAAATACAATTTTGAGGAAATCATAATAATTTAAAAATGTATTTTATAATACAAAATACCTGGTAAGTAAGTATCGTAAAATTAACAGAAAAATTCAGTTTCCTACGACAAAATAGGCATTATGTGTTTATTTTTGAGTTACCTAAAACGATAATGCACCTAGCCTTTTATGATTACAAAGCGGTATGGGCCTACGTAGAGAGCCTACAGATAAGAGGATTCCGGGCGAATCCAAAAGCCAATTACAGAATATGTTTGTACTTCTTTTATTTCTGGTGTACGATACTTCAATACTTGATTAGACTGATAACTGGTATTGTGAACTACGGTTCAATTACCTGTGGAAAGAGATATATCATTTCGATAATACCATATAGTAAAATTACCCTCTGGATAATACACACAATTTGCTATTTAAGCAACGAAGGTAAATTTGATATGATGCACTTTTATTATTTGCACATTTATATTTAATCACAGTGCAATGTTATATACTTATATTGTTATTCAGTAGTCAGATAGGGATATAAAAGGATAAAAGTGAAAAAAATTGCTTGGTTGGAAGATAATTGCATTTTGAAAATATTTAAGTTCCCAAGAAATGTTTTTTTAATGTTTTTAAAAATGTCTATAATATATGCAATTTTTATTTTTTAAATGTCTTAGTGTCCAACTTTTCACTAAAAAATAATATTAAAAAAATGATAATTTATCATTTTTTGTAACATTTTGTGCTCAATGAAATAATACTTGAAAAACGCTTAAAATACATAGGATTAATATTAAAATTTGGTGTTTTAATACCATTTTTATGACATTTGAATCACATTTGATGTATTATTAAAATTGTTTTTTATTCATAGAGTACATTCGTAAAATTACAGTACATTTTGCTTTAAATATAACACTTGTATAAATAATTAATTTGATTATTTAAATATTATAGCGCTTCAAATAGGACCAATAATGGCTACATTATGTCCTAAGTGCAATGCAAAAATGGAAAGATGAAACCCATCATGGACTTAGCTGACGGTAGAGTTGTTTTACACCAGTTCGAGGATCCTAATTAAAAGTTTAATTGATAATTCTCACCCTCTAATCTCTATCAAAACATTTCTTTGATAATTGTAGACGGTATAATACTCTGTTTCAAATGACATCGTTTGGAACAAACGAAGTAGCTGAAGGGAACTTCATGCCAACCTTTAAATTCGGGGTCAAGTGCATCATTCAATAGGTAGTTTATTACCCAAAATTGGAAATAATGCTAAATTTTTACAAATTTATTTTATGTCAGAGTCGGATCAAATATCTACTCGAACAAATATGATTCCAAATTTAAAAAGAGGTCTCATTGACTTATTGCAAACAGTTTTGCATGAAAACCTTATTTTAATTTCAACAGGAGATAAAACAAAAAACGTCATATGCTCAGAAGTTTTATGAAATTCTTTATCAAACATAAATTATTCACATACTCGTATATTTGTCTTTGATCCCGCTAGAAGCATTTAAATACGTTTTCATTAACAGTTTTTTATATTAACTTGGCGATATTATTAAAAGATAGAATTTGAATAAAAAATTCTGTATAGGTATCATCGTTCGAAGGCAAATTAAACAACCAATCTCGGTTGAAGCCGTGACGGGTCGGCTAGTAATGTTATATTATATATTATTTATGGATACTATGGATTTTTATTTGATTTTTGAAGTTATTCATATTTACAACATAAAATGGTAGATAATATCAGTAATTTATTGAACATTTTATTTTAATATAAAAATGGCACTTCGGAAATTACTTCTAATAGTATTACTACCTATTAATAATTTACAAATTAGTAGTTCTAATAACTAAATAACACGTGTGATGTGAGTCTAGTAACTATATTAAATGTAAATAGGTACCTAATATTTTATACACTTTGATTTCCTACTGCCAGTAGCTACAGAACTACTGCGTTGAGCGCAGTGCAACTAAAAATCTATAATGGTCGTAATTGTTCAAAAGTCTTCAAGATCTATAAATAATACTATAATAGAATGTAAATCTATCCAAACTGCGATATTAGAATAAAATCGATAAGTACCTACCCGAAAAAATCGAAACGTTGATTTCACACCAAAAATCTGTAACCAGAAATAATTAAACCTGTTTTATTCTATCTACCTGCTCGCACACCAACGTAGAGAATCGTTGGATAAACGTGCAATGGTAGATTTTAATATAAGTAGTAGGTACCTACATGCAGCCTAAACAGTAAACTCCCAGTTGTATATATATGTATATGTATTATGTAATTTATATGTCAATGGTATACAGTATATACACTGATAAATGGATCCCACCTTTATTATTTTTTACATTTAAGAAATCGAAATTATAAAACTATATAGGTATATACCTATGGGCTGTATGTATACATTATAAATGTTATTTTTTTAG